AAGAATGAAAGGAAAGAACACTGTCTGCTTCTTGGAGTTATACAGGCAGGAAACAGGCCAAACAAGCTACATCTGTAGTCCACCAAGAAAAGGAAAGGGCCATCTCTGGAGATCAGCAGAATTCTTGGAAGGAACACAGGAAGCAGGGCCTCCTCAGTTTCAAAGGGTGGGGCCAGGTCTCCTGCATCTCAGAGGGTGGGGGCACAGCCTCCTAGGTGTCAAAGAGTCGAATCTTTGCCAACTTAGCTCCAGAGTGTGAGGCTGCAGTGAAGGTAAGCCAGGGGGATAGGACTGTCACCCAAAGCTGAAGAGGCAGGGCTGCCATGTCCAAGGGGCAGAAGACCAGGGCCTTCTGGAGCCAAGGTGATGAGGTCGCCACTCAGATGGACTAGGAGAATGGGGCCCCTAAAGCCAAGGGAGCAAAGTTGCCATCAGAGAGGTTCTGAAAGGCAGAGCCGAAGCTGGGGCCAAACGGCTCCACTCAGAATCCAGAGGGTGCAGCCAACCCCCAGAGTTTAGAGAGCAGTGTTATTGCCTAGATGGTCTCAGAGAACAGAGAATTATTTTCGAGCCTTGAGAGCTAATGAAAATTATTCTGCTTGACTTGAGACTTGCTTGGCACCTGTTTTTCCTTCTTCCCCTCCAATTTCTCCCATTTGTAATGGAAACATCATTGGTGCCTGTCCCACCATTGTACTTTGGAACAAGATAACTTGTATTCTAGATCTCTCAGATACACAGATGAAGAGGATGGAATGCACCAAAGTCTCACCATATTTGATTTAGATGCTTCAGAAGATGAGATCTTGAACTTGGAATCGATATAAGACTTTTTTGTGATGATGTGATGAGGTGAATGTATTTTGTGTGTGGCAAGAACATGAGTTTCTTAGGACCAAAGTCTGGAATATTATGAATATAATTGTTGTTAGATGCTGTCCAGTCAACTCTGACTCATGTTCAACTATGTCCAACAGAATGAAATACTGCTCAGTCCTGCACCATTCTCACAATCATTGGTTTCTCTGCTTGAGCCCATTGTTGCATGTGTTGATCCATCTCATTGATGGTCTTCCTCTTTCTTGCTACTTTATTTTCTCCTGGGACTGGTCCCTCCTGATGACTTGTCCCAAGTGTGTAAGACAATATCTCATCATCCTAGCTTCCAAGGATCATTCTGGATATACTTCTCTCAAGACAGATTTGTTCATTCTTCTGGCAATGCATGGTATATTCTATATTCTTCACTAAAACCATAATTCAAAGGCATCAACTTTTCAGTCTTCTTCAGCTCTCGCATGCATATGATGTAACTGAAAATACCCTGGCTTCTTTCAGGTGCACCTTATTCTTCAAAGTGACATTGTTGCTTTGTCAATACTTTAAAGAAGAATTTTGCAGCAGGTTTTCCCAATGCAACACGTCACTTAATTTCTTGACTGCTGCTTCCATAGGCATTAATTGTGAATCCAGGTAAATGAAATGCTTGACAGCTTCCATAGTTTCTCCATTTATCATGATATTGTTTATTGGCCCAGTTGTGAGGATTTTTGTTTTCTTTATGTTGAGGTGTAATTCATGCTGAAGGCTGTATACTCTTTGGTCTTCATCAGTAAGAGCTTCATGGCTTCTTCGCTTTTAGCAAGCAAGGTTGTGTTACTTGCATATTGCAGGTTGTTAATGAGTCTTCCTCCAATCCTGATGTCACGTTGTGGTCCAGCTTCTTGGATTATCTGATTAGCATGCAGATTGATTAAGTACACTGAAAGGATACAACTCTGAAGCACTCCTCTCCTGATTTTAAACCACAGAGTATTCCCTTGTTCTGTTCAAACGACTGCCTCTTGGTCTGTGTACAGGTTACACACACACACACACACACATAATTAAGTTTTCTGGAATTCCTGTTCTTCACAATGTTAGCCATAATTTGTTATGATCCACACTGTTGAATGTGTTTACATAGTCAATAAAACACAGGTAAACATCTTTCTGGTATTCTTTGCTTTCAGCCAAGATCCATCTGACATCAGCATCTCATTCCATGTCCTCATCTGAATCCACCTTGAATTTCTGGAAGTTCCCTGTCCATGTACTTCTGCGATGATTTTTGGCTTATCTTCAAAAAAGTTTTATTTGCATATGATATTAATGATACTGGTCAATAATTGGACATTTAGATCATCTTTCTCTAGAATAGGCATGAATATTGCTATATTGGCATAAACAAGTGAGCTCTTCCAGCATTTCATCTGTTTGTTGAAACATCTCTATTGGTATTCCTTTAATCCCTGGAGCCTTATTTTCTGCCAATGTCCTCAGTGCAGCTTGGACTTCTTCCTTAAGTACCATCCATTCTGATCATGTGCTACCTCCTGAAATGTTTGAACATCAACCAATTCTTTCTGGTACAGTGACTCTTTGCTCTTCCTTTTGATATATCTTTTCTATTTTCTTTTGATGCCTCCCATGTTGTTCAATATTTTGCCCACAGAATCCTTCAATATTGCACCTCAAGGTTTGAAGTACATTGCAGAAGTACATTGACAGGGAACTGCCAGAAATTCAAGGTGGATTCAGATGAGTTCATGGAATGAGATATATCATTGTTGATGTCAGATGGATCTTGACTGAAAGCAAAGAATGCCAGAAAGATGTTTACCCATGTTTTATTGACCATGCAAAGGCATTCAACTGTGTGGATCATAACTGAATTTTTCCTTCAGTTCTTTCAGCTTGAGAAATGTCAAGCCTATTCTTCCTTTTCAGTTTTCTAACTCCAGGTCTTTGTGCATTTCATTATATTTCAATTTGTCTTCTTGGACCACCCTTTGAAATCTTCTATTCAACTCTTTTACTTCATGGATTGAATTATTTCACAAAAAAATATGTGTTGTAAATCCCAACCTCTATGCCTGTGGTTATAATCTCATTTGGGAATGGGTTGTCTTTGTTATATTAAGATGACTGGATTAGTGTGGGATGTATCTTGAGTGAATCCCTTTTGAGATAGAGAGAGAGAGATCAAACAAGCAGAGAATTGATGGGGAAGAGAGAGGCCAAGCCACATGAAGACTGGCCAGAAGAAGAAGCTTACAGGAACAAAGAACTTCCTCCAGAGCTGAGAGAGAGAGAAAGCCTCCCCATAGAGACAGCACCCTGAATTCTGAATCTAGCCTCCTAAACTACGAGAGAATAGATTTCTGTTTTCCATCCATGTAAGATATTTCTGTTATATTCACTGCCACTGAGTCAGATCTAACTCATAACGACCCCTCCTTGGGTTTCTGAGGTGGTATCACTAGGGAAGTAGATTGCCCAATCTTCCTCCCAAGGAGTGGCTGGTAGGTTTGAACTGCCCACCTTCTGGTTAGCATCCAATGCCTTAGGCGCTACGCCAGCAGAGCTCCTGCATTTATTTTATAGCAGCGCTATATAACTAAGAAGGAGCTCTGGTAGCGTAGTGCCTAAGGCACTTGACTGCTAACCAGAAGGCTGGCCGTTCAAACCCACCATCCACTCCTCGGAAGGAAGGTTGGGCAATCTACTTCCATAGTGATACTGCCTTGGCAACAAAAGAAGGGGTCGCTATGAGTCGGGTCCAACTCGATGGCACATAACAACAACAACAACATATAAGTAAGAAGGAGCTCTGGTAGCATAGTACCTAAAGGCACTTGACTGCTAACTAGAAGGGTGGCAGTTCAAACCCACCAGCCACTCTTTGAAAGGAAGATGGGACAATCTACTTCCATAGTGATACTGCCTCAGGAACGCAAGGAGGGGTCTCTATGAGTCAGGTCTGACTGGACGGCACATAACAACAACAACATATAACTAAGACACTGGGTCAAAGAGTTAGAACATATTTTCTAGACTTTTCACCAATTCGCCTTCCTGAAAGGTCATAGCAATTTTCATTCTAACCAGTCACAAATGAGAATGACCGGATCCCATCACCTCTCCCTTCTCTGGGTTTTATTGTTGCTTTTTGTCTTGACTTATTAGGTAAATGAAAATGGAATCTAATTTGGGTTTGCATTTCTTTTATTACTAGTGAGGCTGAATTTTTTAGTGCTTGCTAAGTATGTATATTTCTTCGTTTGTGACCTGCCTGTTTATGTCCTTCTGCATTATCAGTTCATAATTAAGAACCAGGCCCAGCCAGTGCCATAGAAAGGTCCTTAAACTGCAGTCATTCCCTACTGTGAAACACACATATTGATGGGTCTTATCATGGAGGGAGATCCCCCATCAAACAGGATGAAATGAACCCAGTCACACTATGAACGTCTCTTCCATTGTCTCTCTCTCCCCACCAAGTTCTCTGGTGTTTCACCCTAGATAAGGGCAGGGACAGTTGTGGTTCATTGGTAGAATTCTCACCATTCATGATGGACCAAAATCAAACCCTAACCCATTGCCACTGAGTTGAATTCCAACTCATAACAACACTATAGGACAGAGTAGAAAGAACTGCCTCATATGGTTTCCAAGGCTATAAATCTTTATGGAAGCAGGCAGCCACTTCTTTTTCCTATGGAGCTGCTGGTGGGTTTGAACTGTCCACCTTTTAGTTAGCAGGCAAGCATTTAACCACAGCATCACCAGGGCTTCTTCCATGATGGATACCCTGGTTCAATTCCCAGCAAATGCACTTCATGTGCAGCCCCACCCATCTGTCAGTGGAAGCTTGTGTGTTGCTATGACACTGAATAAGTTTCAGCAGAGCCACCAGTCGAAGGCAGGCTAGGAAGAAAGGCCTGGTGATCTCTTTCTAAAAATCAGCTAATAAAAAACCCCATGGATTGCAATGGTCAAAGCCACAACTGAACACAGTGATGGTGCAGGACCATGTGTATGGGGTTGCCATGAGTCAGGGAATAACTCAAAGACAGCCAATAACAAGAGCTAAGGGTGGGGTCAAGGGAAGATGAAACATTCACTTCTTCTCTCTACTGCTTCTCCATCTCCTACCCACTACTACTTTGTGGACCCAGCTCCCTGTGGAGGGGCAGTGCACAATGCCACCATCGGCCGCGTCCTCTCCCCAAGTTATCCTGGAAACACCAATGAGAGCCAGTTCTGTGTGTGGACCATCGAAGCTCCAGAAGGCCAGAAGCTGCATCTTCACTTTGAGAGACTGTCGTTGAATGAGAAGGACAGGTAAGCCTCCGAGGGCCCCTCCTCAGCCCCTTTCCCTCCCAGAGGATAAGTATGTGGCTATAGATTTGAAGTCTGGAAATGGCTGAACTTTGACTCATGAAGGTCAAGAAACAAGGAGCTGGGAAGTACTTAAGCTCCAATGTCTTCCTTTTGCAGTCAGGAAACTGGAGCACACAGAGGGAAAGGGACTTGCTCCAGGTCACAGGCAGGGTAGGGGAAGAGGCAAGAAGGGAATCAAGGTCCCCTTCCTTGCCACATTGCACTGTCTGTTCTATCTCTTGCAGATGAACAAGGAGGGAGTATTTATAGGACGCCTGCTCTGTGCCCAGGCATGCATTAGGCTCCTTGGAGAACAGGAGGGAAGTGGAAAACATTGGTTCCTGGTATGATAGGAAAGGACCCCAGGTGACACAGCGGTTAAGCACTTGGCCACTAACTGAAAGGTTGGCAGTTCAAACCCATCCAGTGTCTCCACAGGAGATAGACCTGGTAATCTTCTTCCATAAAGATCACAGCCTTGGAAACTCTAATGGGCAGTTCTACTCTGTTGCATGGGGTCTCTCTCTATAAGTTGAAATCTACTCGAGGGCACATAACAATAGCAACATGATAGGAAGCTGAGATGGACAAACGGGAGTTAGGTACATGAAAGAACTAGGGAGATGTTACAAGGCACTACATAATCTAGAGCATGTTTGTGGAGTCTAAACATTCGGCATAGAATCCATGATCTTAATGCTTTCATGGCATAGAAAACTGATCTTAGATGCTTAGACTTGCTGTTTTGGCCTGAGTTACCTTGGAAACAGACATGGAGACAAAAATGTGAGGGCAAGTAGTGTATTTGGGAGCTGATCTTAGGAAGCACTGGTAGGGGCATGCGAAAGTAAGACAGGGTAGAGAAGGAAGTCATACAGTGTAGGTTAATGAGCTGTGAGCAACTATCCATGGGGACCTCTGGGAGACTGCACTGAGCATGCCTCAGAGTAGTCCCATTGGAGGACGAGGGAGCAGCAGTATTTATCCACCAACCACCGTCCATCATTGCATGAGGGCTTCTCCTGGGCACACTAACTCCCCCAAATTTTCTACTACCTTTTGTACCCAAAATTGTCCACTACCTGTTGTACTAGTTGAGTCTGTGCCAGTGACCAGGGAAATCCCTCAGGCAAAAATTCCCAGAGACTTTGGGTAGGAAGCCAGAAGCAAGTGTGGGAAACAGTGAGTGCTGAGGGGCTATGGGTGTAGGACAGTGACAGCATCTACTACACTTCCAGGATCTCAGAACCTTGGAGTCCTGGAACCGAACAGTTTTGGCCTTAGAGTTTAGGCAACTTGACTTCATTGAAGCTTCAAATCCAGAATACAAAAAAAAAAAAAAAAAAAAAAATTGTTGTGATTTGGTTCAAAGTGTACATTGAAAGAGCAAATTGGTTTTCTAATCAATGATTCATGCACATTTTGACTTGGGACATTGATTGCAATGTCCACAATGTAACAGCACTGTTCCCACTTCCTCCCTATATTCATTGTTTCTTTGGATTGGAAAGGATTCACCATATAAGAATGAAAACACTAGACAATTGAATCATTTCATTGATAACTGAATGATTTACCTAACTGTTGAATCACTCCCCTTCCTTCTAAGAAGTCCAACTCCATCCTGAACAACTCCATATCATTAAATCATGGTGTTAAAGGGTCACAGGTGGAACAGGAGCTTTAAGACATGGCATTTTGGTAGCAGCTGAATGACCTGGAGAACTCTTTAAAAAAAAGAAAAATTCCCCATCCTTCTCCATGGAGATGTTGAATGAGAAACTAGGTCTGGAATCTCAGTGAAAGAAGCTTTGCAACCCTTGGACCTCAGTTTGCCTTTTCTGAATGATGCTGAGATGAATCAAATTTAAATTTATACTGGACAACAAGAATGAGCAGAAAGGGAAAAGAAGTTAATGGAAATGAGTATTTTCATGATAAGTGGGTCAAACAGACACTATTTTATAATACTTTCCAGGCAGCCTTCCATAGGTCTAGGAAATGGATGAGTTGATAATTACCTTAAAAAACTAGTTCTAAAATGCATCAGAAAGAGGTTTACTGTAGTTCATCAAGATTAAAAGTCAACACACACAGACTGGTGAAACCCCGAAGACTGGCCCCTAGTCATCCTTTGGGCCTGGAACTGAACTCATTCCCGTGGCTTCCAGCCAAACAACAGACATTTACACCAGGGAGATGCACTCCTCAGAACAGTCAACCATGGGAGGTCAGAAGGGCAGTAGTAGCCCAGGGAGATAGCTCAGAGGGCAGGAATGCATAGGAAGGAAGGA